GTTTATAATCTATTAAATCTAAGATCACAAAAATATTTATAAAATATTCAAATATTTATTATAAATATTTTCTATATATTTTATAAATATTGTGTGCTGTCTGGGTGGCGCAAGGGTTTTCATATATTAAATTTTCAAGATTGATTCTAAACTTTAGAGACTTTTTTTATATCTGTTTATTAATATCATAACAAACTCTACTCTTTATATATTTCTACAAGGAATATATACTTTTCGCCTTCCAAAGTTAAAGATTTCTGATGATTAGCAAAATCAGCATTGATATACGAATTTTTGTATATTTATCTATTCTTTTTCTTGCGCTTAATCTTAATTTTCTTTTTAAGAAAATAATTTAATTCTTTAATAAATTGTAAAGTATGTCATGGTAAATTCTTATCTATTTCTCCTTATCTATTTTACTTGCTTCTAATCATGCACAGTATGGCAGTGATAAATTAGGTAATGTATGGGTATATACTTTATTGAATTAAACTTAGAAGGAATATAATACTTTTCTTCCAATACTTGATACCTTTTTAGATACAAAAAATTGATTAGGATACAAGTTTTTAATTATAATAAATTATGTGCATTATTAAATTAAACTCATAAAAATGTTTCATTTAAGATTCAGAATTTCTTGATAAGAAATGAATTATGTCACAGTAAATTCTTATCTATTATTATGTATCTATAATCATACCATAGCAATGATGAGTGCTTTATGAATTTTATTAAATTTTTAGAAAAACGTATGCTTTCTTTTTGATATTTTCTAAATATAAAAAGTTGATTAAAATGTGCCAAAAATTGCATTTTTATATGATTGCAATAATTATAATAAGCACTACGATTATTAAAAAGATTTGTGCTTTTTACTATCAAAATAATAAAAAAGCAGCCAAAAAAACAGGGAGAAAATAATTTTAAAAAATTGTAGCGATTATATAAGATATATCGAAGTAGATAGGAAAAAAATGTGTGAAAGAACAATATGACTCGTATAAATATAAGTTTATTTACATTGCAACAGATCCTTTTGTCAAATAAGTGACAAAGGTGATTACGAGTGTAGACTTGAACATAATTAAGCATTATAAATGTTAATTAAAAATAATAATTACAACATTCTAACCATGTATGCGTGTATATGTATGTGTGTATGTGTATTTGTATATATGTATATGACGCCTTGCACGCCTTCCCGATTAAATAATTAATATACATTCGTGTTTCGTAGTAGGACTCTACGAGACGTGCTGCTGCGGCATTATTGTGCTTTCGTTTTCTTTTTTTTTTTCTCGTTACAAAGAAAAATCAAGTGTGAATGATAATATCTCTCTCGGTTCCATTTGCGCTCTCGATCTCGACACTGGACTATGTACCGTGAATGACTTGCACTCTTACATTTAATATTACTTTATATAAATAATACAGTAGTCTCTCATAATAATTAGTATTAATAATAAAACGTGGAAAAGAGAGTCGCTCAGAGATAGAAAGAGAGAGAGAGGGAAAAAGAGAGATTGCAATTCGAGTCGCAGATACATACCGCAAGGCCATCCGAGAAAAGAGAGCGAATTTCGTTGCACATTTATTCTTTCTCTCTTTCTCCTTCGTATGACAAGATTCTCAAGATTGACTGAAACAAGCGTAAACGAAGAACGATAGGAACGGTTTACGCGTTTTCATGTACGGCACGACCCCATTATATTCCCTCTGTATATGCGTGTATTGATGCATTTTTTTTATTTTTTAGAAAAAAACGTTGCGGCTTATCACGGTTAATGCCACACTCCTCCATCATTTCTCTAACACTGTGTATGTACTTCTTTAATACCCAAGCGATATAAAAAGTTGAGCATCGTATTTTTCCTATTGCGTACCATTGATAAATATACGTCAAGAGGATTATTGATGAAAGTTAGATTCACGTTTTGACAGCGAGGGAAAGCCGTGCAAATGTCGCGAAGATTGTCCGTAGTTAAGATCGTGGTGAGAACGACCCCCTCGCTTATGCAAAACGTGCGCACATGGACCTCAGAGCGTCCCTCGGTTAATATTAATCCTAGTTAAATTAATTGATTTCTTCCTATTTATATAGATCGCGAAGAATAGTCAAAGTCAAAAAAATCGGCGACAATTTATGCCAATAACACCACAAATCTTATAATTAGAATCTTTTTGAGAATTAATTTATGCAACTTTTTTTTATTTCTTTTCACTGTATCTTTTGTAAGAAATAATTCATTCTAACTTTTCGTCAGAATTAGTTAACCGAAGCTTAGCTAAAGACCATTTAACCGTGTAAAAGTTTGTGTTTACGAGTTTAGCGTGTGAAGCGTTTTAAACTCGGAAAAACACGACGTTTTATCCTTTTCTATATTCTAACATCCAATAAGAAATTCAGAAAATATTTTTCAATTAGAAACCTGAAATATTTACTAGCTAGCTAGTAAGTCATCAAATGTCTTAAGGCAATTTTCGCGGTTTGAAGTATCTGCAAATCGAAAAATGTTTGAGAATAAATTAAGATCAAATACTTTTTTATAATTTCAGCCGTTTCGCACGCTAAATCAACGTTCTTTCGTACAATAATGTTCGACTCGCGTACAACAGAATCCGCGGCGGCTCGAGTATTAAGAACATGTTCCTCCATGTTTCTTTTTTTTTTGTTTTTTTTTTACAGCGTTCGAGAACATGTCTTTTTTGAGGGGTACACGTTCTGTGACTCGCTCTGTGCGCGCAACTTCGAGTAATCTAGCTATTACGTAGTGCACGTGATTGCTGTCCGGGTGTCCGTAACCGCGTATGGCACCAACAAGAAATAATAATAATAAGGCTTAATGATTGTAGCGGTGGGTTATGGCGGCGGAGGTCTTCTCTGAGGCTCGGGCGTGTAGCGCAAACGAGCTCGCACGTGCTGCGGACTGCCAGGCACCGAATTGCTCTCCGATAATCTCCTAGGCGGTGGCTGAGGTGGAGAAGACGAGACGTACCTTAAAGAAGCCAAATTATTCATCGTACATATTTTTTTCATATCATTAAAAACAATTGATACATAAGTAATAATTGTAAGAAGTTATCTTTTTAGCAAGTAAATGGTGATTGAAAGGCATACCTTCGCGGACAAGAAGGAGACGCCTGATCAATTAAGTTCCTCCTAAGGGCAAGCGGAGATTCGCCGCGACTTAGTCTCGGTGGTGGCTCCGGCGAAGGAGCGCGTTCGCTACCGAGTCTGAGGCGCACGTAAGACGCGAAACGCTTCTTTGCGGACTCCTTGGAACCGACGCCCTGTTGCGGTGGCATCGCCAGCGACGATGGCGGCGACTCCTGCTTCAATTGATGCGCGAAACGGGAGATCAACAATTGTGGACTAGTGGAGCCGTGAGATCCCTGCGGCGGTGGCTCCGAAGGAAACCTGTATTCAAAGTAAGCCACAATATATTACCATGTTTTGGCTAGCATAAAATCTTTTCTGAACGATTAGTTGTAAAAAAAGAAACACACGTGATATTTTTCGTTAAATGATTATATATACATAAATATATATAAATGGCAAATATATATGAAATATGTATGTATATACACTAATTCGGTAAATGAAGTTATAATGTATAAACACTAAGCTAAATGAGAGGAAATTGATTGAAAAACGAACTTGTGCATTAAAAAATAATAAAGAATACAAATGCTTAGAAGATACAAATGCAGATTAATCGGTTCGAGTTCTTTCAATTACCTCTTGCGGCTAATCATGGGACTACCGTAGATGTCCTGCGTCTGCGGGTAGGTCTGCGGTGCCGCGGGTTGTTGTGACGGCAGTTGTGCGAATCGTTGTTGGAAAAATGGCGAATAACGGCCACCGCTGTCACATGTAACAGGTGGCGGCGGCTGAATGACAGGCGGATCGACGTTCTCCCGCCGCCAGGGCGAATAATCCCTGGCAAAGGGGCTCAGTGATCTCGAAACGCCTCCTTGCCATCGGTCTATCTTGTTGCCACTGTCGCGTTCATCGTAGCGACCAATGCGATACGGAGAATAAGGTCGATCATTGTTGTCCAGATTGGCGTCTTGCGTCCTATAAGGAGAGAACGATCTCATCGTCGTCATCTCCTGTTTATTTTGGCCATTCGTTGCGCAGCGATTTGAGGAATAATCGTGCCTGATAATCGTGCTCTGTTCTTGTTGCCGATAAGGCGAGAAGGGCCGCGGCGGTAGATTCGACTCCGGCTGATCCATCGCGACGTCCTTAGATATCGGCGGCGAGAACGGCCGGGCGATCTCCTTTCGGCGAAGAGCATACGGACTGTAGGATACATAGTTAGTGCCATTCTCGCTATTAGAGCGTTGATGAAAAGGCAGAAAGCCGGAATTCGGCGATTCTCTGAAACTGCTATTGATGTTGCTCTTCAGGAAAGCCGGCACCTCGGATTGCGCCCGAAGATGGGCTGTCTGTTTTAAAGACACATGACCCGAAACTCGCTGTTGCTGCTGTCCTCCCGGCAACCTGAAACTAGATTGCGATCTGGATGAATTTCTTCGAGAATACGATTAATTTCTTCCAACGCGAAAGTGTAATTTCTCTCTCTCTCTCTCTTTCTCTAATTTTTTCAGTGTGTATATGTGTGTGTGTGTCAGTATCACCCAGTAATTATCATATTGTGATGATTCTATAAAAAACTTTAGCTTAGATTTAAAGTTAATAAAAGTTAGAGCGAAGCATTAATCATTAAATGTGCATACAATAATAAAAACAAGGAAGTTCTCTGTCATGAGATATTCTTTGGTACCAGATTGCATAAATGTCAGATCTCTAAATCGCGTTGAAAATTTTCAGAAGTTCATGCTCATCATTGATATCACAGAGCATCTATTTCTCGCATTGTCAAGTGCAGTAAATTAGGACGAGTCATACGTGACAAAAATAATTTTACACTAGACAATTTTGCACTGTACAATGAGAATCTATAAACATTTTATTGACAAAATTTAAAAAAAGGTGGAAAAGTAATATGACAAATTTTTTATTTATATATATACATATATAAATGATTCAAAATTTTTTTTAGTAATAGCTATATTAATCTCGCCTCAATTTGCGACAAAAATTCTCTACCGGAAGAGAAAAACAATACGTAAATTGCAAAAAAGAAAACAAAACTGGTGTGTATGGGGAAAAAATATGCGTGCATTGCGACAAAAAAAATTTGATAGCCGCTATCCTAAATGCAATAAGAATAGGTGAAAAAAAGAAACGAAAATATATTGAAATAAATAAAAAAACAATGCTTACCGTGAGTAAGGGTTGAAGGATGGGGTGTGTAACAGGCGCGTGCACAAACCAAACAACTTGAAATGAAAATTGGGCAGATATTTGGATACTCTGAGTAATAGTAGTAGTAGTAATAATAGTAGTGGAGTGGTCTGTTTTAGCTTTTATTTTTTTTTTTATTTTTTTTTTTTTGAAATCTCTTTCAGGAATCTTAACCAATTTGTCCAGGAACGAGCGAAAGTGGAAAGGGAGGAAGGAACAAGAGAGAAAGGGTATGCTACGCCGCACTGCCTCCCTCAAGCTCAACACTGCAACACAATTCAACACGCACGCAAACTTTTAATTTGAAAAAATAAAAACTATAAATGTCAATTTTTGATAAAATAGTAGCAAAAATAAATTTATATATTGTAATGTAATATATAACGGATGTATGTGAATGTGTTTTATGAGTATATCGCATTTTCCTTAAATTCATTAACAAGTTCGCAAATCGTTTGATCAGTTGCAATAGATTGCAAAAATCGATATGCAATTAACGAGAGAATCCTCTGTCTAAAAGCCAAAAATGCCACAATTACGGGATTTTCCATTAATGTGCAACAATAAATCAATTCGTAAAACGCTTTGTTCAATTTTGAAATAGTTTTGATACCAATAATATCTGTTGATATTATTACAGAAATGTGTTAAATATATGTAAGACTTGTACAAATTGTTCGTAAAATCGATTATCTGGTTATTTTCAAAAGGAAAAAAAAGAAATAACCAAACCAGAGAGATCAGTACCTTTATATTAGTTAGGAATCTCATGCCATGTTTAAAATTCGTGATCTCGTTGTCAGGCTAGCGTTATCAACAAATATATTATCACCCTGTCCATCCTATCATGTGATATTAAGTTTCCTAAATATCACGTTTTCTAAGAAAAGCAAATGGTGATTAACGAATCTTAGTTCCCACCTTGGTTCTAACTGCCGCATAACCTTGCCGAACCACTGGAAGCCGGAGTTCGTTAGAGCGGAATTTGTCTCAACATCCTGTGGAACATCATACTTGCGGATAAATGGTTGTTCCATAAGCTTGTGGTATTTGGGCCGATGCTTGTAGTTTTTTGTAAGGCAGCAACTAACAAAGCTTCTGAACTCCTTGGAAAAGGGCGAATCCACTGGAAGAGACGGAGGATCGTCTTGTACTACTCTGCTCAGTACCTGCAGTGAATAGAGAATGACAAATAAAAAAAAATGTGCAAAATGTAGTTGCTTAAAAAGACAGTCATATTACAAATAAAATTTCACGATATCGAACTAAAAACGAATTAATGATATTTATGAAACAATCAATTATATATATATATATATATATAAAATACACTGTACATATTTAGCAACATTTTACAATAGAAATGGAAAAATTAAAAAATTATTAGTTCTTCTCTAGCTAAATTCAAATGGAAAGAACAAAGAGAAAAGTTTACCTCAAAATCAGTCTTGCAGTCTCGATAAGGAAATACTCCCGTAGCTAGTTCCACTAGAGTAATGCCTAGACTCCACACGTCCGCTCTTATATCATAATCTGGCTTAGTAGGATCGGGTGGGTCTATTCTTTCAGGCTGCATAAAAAACAGTAGAAAAATGCACTATTATTCATTTGTACATTATACAAAAAATTTAAACATTCTCTAACATTGTGATTTATGTATACTAACAGCCATGTATGCCGCACATCCTGCGCTTCTCGTCTTTGCTTTGCTATCAACCAATCTGCCAGATATCCCGAAATCGCAAAGTTTCACTCTTCCCAACTCATCCAGTAATATATTACTAGGTTTCACATCTCTATGAATAACACCATGTTTTTCTTTCAGGTACGACAACGCCTTTACTGTCTGAAGAAAAAAAATGGCATAGAATCTTCTTTACAATTCCAAAGTCATTGCGAAAATTATCCAGGATATTTTATTTCAAATTTTAAGAGAAAAAATCGAAGCAAAGAGAAATATTCAGACTTTTGCAAATAGCTTTGAAACTAGAGATAAAACGTCTTAAAAATGAAAGAAACTTACTGCTACTGTGACTTTGCCTAAGAAATCCTCAGGAATCACCTGCCTGCTGCGTTTCAATAGCTTATCCAGACATGTTGCCATCAGCTCCATACAAATCCATACATCAGACTCGGTGATGAAACAGCCCAGGCACTGTACAATGTACGGACAGTCGTGTGACTTGAGCACAACATCAAGATCCATGATTATCCTCTTGTTCTCCTCTGTATTTCCAGAACGTCGCATCTGCTTCACAGCAATCTCCACGCCACTGGGTTTGTGCCTCATTTTGACAACATGTCCACAGGTACCATTACCAAGTTCACCTAAATGCTCCAAATCTTTCATCTCTGTCTGATATCTTTGGCCATTAATGTTTAGGATACCATTCATCTTCATGATCTCTTGCATCTTTGACTCAAATTCGCTATCATGCTTCTTTGGCGGTATTATCTGCGATACTGGTAAATCCAACTGTCTTCTAGGTCGTGTTGGGGTACCCATATCTCCGACTATCGAGAAATATATATATATATATATATGTATTATTTTAACATATTACCCTATTAAGTTTCCTCTAATATTCTTATAGTTATAGTTTATATATACATATATAAAATGTACAAATAAATAAAATAAATCTTTTAAATTACTTTGATATCCAAAAATAGTCTTGGATTTCATAGATTAAAAAGTATTTCAATTATTTTAATTCTAAAAGTTTAAACTCATAATTATAAATTTAATAATAACAAATTTGTATCGTAATATATAATTTCTTAATATAAAACTATATTAATCCTTTCAAGGGTTGTTGTAACATTTATCTTATAGCATTGCTCACCAACAATTTTTCAAACATTTTTATTTGATATCAGAATTTTGTTTTTTATTATATTACTTATTAACTACATTTCAATATATTATATAACAATAAAAATGTATAAGATTTAGCTGTGGCTTAACAAAAACGAGCAAATGGAACAGTTAATAAAATCCATGCTCGCAATACAGATAAACAAATGGGATAAAAATAACCGACAAGCGACCGCGGAGAAGAAATATTATTTTGTCATCTATTAGGCATGAAAAACGTATCCGGAGTTGTCAGGACGCGGAAATTCATAAGATCAACAATGGACATCGAAACGATCAACATAACCTGTAATCGTGCGATCGTGCAACCACGACGCGTCATCGAGGGATATCGATCAGCTGAAGAAAAATCCAGCGTCGAGAGATTGGCGAGGATTCTTACTTAGCATAGGGCAACATGCTTACGTTGTCGAGGCCTGCGAAGCGCGGGACTGGACACGGGGCCCGTCGACGGATGCAGCAGACCCGCGTTCGGGCCTCCGATCTCGCCGCCCTGTCTGTCCCTGTCCCGCGACTCGTTCTCCGCTCGCAGCCGTTCCTCCAGGCTCATGATCTTCTTCTCCAGAATGCTCGACATCGCGTCCGCGCGAGCGCGCGCGGGCCTCTTGACGCGGCTACGTGTTGTGTTGTGTCGCACGCCACACCAATACCAGGCTCACCGGACTCGCCGCACCGTCGTCGTGCACCTAATATTTGACAATTTTCGCATCACTCTACGCCGCTCTGCCCCTTTTTGGCAGCGAGCACTGCGCCGCCGGTCCGCACGCGTTCGCAGGTCTGCCAACTTGGTGAGCGAGCCCGCGCTACACGCCGCTAATTAGAGAGGTTATATTAGGTTAGGTTTCATTATTACACTCATTCAACAATCTATATTGCGTTTATCTTACAATTTATTTCAACCATTATATTTAATATGTTAACACATAGAAAACTTTATAAATCGTGAGGCTTAATAGATGCGATTCAACGTCACAATTTTGTATTGCATTGTAATATTTTTATATTTTTGAAACATTGGACGCGTTCAGCAGAGAAAACCGCTTAGTAGCAATCGAATGTGATTGGTTCTTACTTTTAGAACCAACGAATCAACGTCAAGTGTTGACAAGACGATAACTAAGCGCTTTCTCTGCTGAACGCGGCCATTGACTACGTAAAACTGGCCAATCACAGCTATTCCTCTGAAGAATGGAATGACTGTGATTGGCCAGTCTTGGAACTACGGATGTTATTAAATCCGATTATGCGGGGTCTACAATGCAGTCGTAAGAGCCCTAAGCCTTAGTGCCGGTCTACAATAGGTGATTTAAGCCCTAAGCCTTAAGAAATTGACTAATCACAGTCGAGTATAAAGAGAATACTCGACTGTGATTAGTCAATTCTTAAGGCTTAGGGCTCTTACGACTGCATTGTAGATCCCGCATTAGGGGTGACGTTCTTCTTCTTTCTTTTATGGCTGGTTGGGCATTAGTCGCCCATACACCATTGTTCCTTATGGGTTTGTAAGATATAAGCAAAAACTCCTCTTAAGAGAAGAGGAAGTCCAAAAAAAAAGGTCCAGACAAAGGACACACGCAGCACGCAAAAACACGTCCGAACCCGACACGTTGTCAGTCGGAACATTAGGGGTGACGTGTAAACGTAGTCATAGACTAAGTTTACACGTCACCCCTAATTGGGTTTAATAACATCCGTAGTTCGAAGGCTGGCCAATCACAGTCATTCCATTCTTCAGAGGAATAGCTGTGATTGGTCAGTTTCACAACAATGTAATATTGTTGAGACATTATTGGAACATGTAATTCTAATATTTCATGAAAATGTTACAGCAACATTCCAAAAACATTACAAAAAACAGTTTTTGATAATCGCTAGTTCGTTCGTTTACCGCTATGCGGTGCGCGTTGCGTTATCTATTCCGCATTTAAATTTTAATCACAATGGTTATATAAAGCTTGCAAAGAGCGGCTAGTAAGATTAAAGGTATAATAACTATTTTTATCAGTTTAATTAGTCTGATACGATCCCAACACAGAGAATTCAGATATTGAACTGATTGTTCAGAAATCAGACAAATTAATATCCGAAAAAGTTAAAATTATCCGTTTATTGTCTATTTAAGATGTAAAATAGAGTCTAATATTTATATAAATAAAATTTTAACTTTGAGTAAAATTATTTAATCATTTTCTATTTCTTAAATTTGTAAATTATTTATAAAATAGCGATGTTAATTAGATAACAGAAAATTGTTTAATAGTTACTATTTCTATATAAAACCAAGAATTTGATAATAATTTTTTAATATGCAATATGTTTCAAATATAATAGATAAACTTCGAAAATATATAAAGACATCCAAAAGAGACGAGAAAAAACTCGTTGTAATTTCGCATAAATTCACAATTTTTTTTTCTTATTTCTCTTGAATGTCTTTATATATTCTCAAAGTTTATCTATTAAATTTGAAGCGTTTTGCATTATTGTAGCAACGCATTTCCCAAAAATGTATTTATTATGCAATCACGCTTTGTTATTATTGTCATATTCTTCTCCTCTTTTTCTGAGCGGAAATTAAATATCTTATTACATAATCATATGAAACAATAAAAAGTGAATATTATTTTTAATATTCATAATATTGTGTTACATTATTTTACATACATATATACATACATACATACATATACATAAGCATTTATAATGCTTATCTTTTTCTTCCTTTTTCTTTTCTTCCCTATATTCTTATTTTCATGTGCATAATTAATTATAAATCATGTGCATTCTTGTCACCTTAGCACTGTTTCTTTTGTTGTCTCCATATTGATATTCTTTCTTTCAAATCGGGCACTGCAATTTCGAAAATAAATATTAATTTGAGATATATTTCTACATGGATAAAAAAAATTACAATAGTTTATATACATATTTTTAAATCGGCATAAGAATATTAAAAAATTTCAATACGATAGATTTTAAAGGACAATCAAGAACTATATTATCTATGACACATCAAATATTTTTCTAATATATTTATGTATATGAAAATGCATTGTTATAAAATGTTACCAATATTTAGACTTAAAAGAAAGTTGACTTTATCAAAAAAGAGAAAAATATTAACAATACATGTATTACTTACTTGGCACGAACATATCTTCGCTAAGCGGCTGCCGATTGAAAGGATCCGTGGCACTGCTGAGTAAATGTCTAATGATAACTGCTTTATCCACAACAATACCAGACGGTAGCTTGACTGGATCCTCCATAAGAGTGTCCATCAATAGATCCCGAAATTCCTCAGGAGCGTCGTCACGCGCGCGATTGTCTCTTGCGATTACCGCCGCACGCTCAGCGAGAGCTACAAACCTTTCAATTTCCGTCGTAGTTTTGATGCCGGATCTCTCTAATTCATTCGCAGCGTCGGTGAATAACTCGTTACGAAACAAAAGCTGCAAAAATGGCTGAAGCAGCCGCAGAATTATCATGGTCAAGATGTAAATATATATCAATCAATTGACAGAATAACAGATTCGGTTCCCATCCGTATTTTCCCAGTTTTTCCACTGTCAAATTTTCAGACTTAGATCTGCACAACTGTTGCAAATTGAAATTCAGCATGGCACACAATTGTCCGACTAATTCCGGTCGTAGAAACGGTTCCTTAATGTCGACTGTTAAATAATGAAACATGGCAACTATATGTTCGGCTAATTTAAGAGAGAATCTGACTTTTTTCTCGTTCTCCACCAGCTGTCTCCTTCTCGATTGTTGTTGCTCCTGCGAAATAGCGTTCCATGTGATAGTGTCGGACATAAGTTCCTCCACCTCGAGTATATATTTCAAATAATATTCCTGAGTGTCCTCGAGCAGAAAAGTGGTGTCGTTCATCAATATGTTGATAAACTTGACGAAGTGCTTGCCATTATTACTCTCATTGACGATAGACGCTCGATGCATCGGGCTATGCCACAACGAATTTAAAATCACACTTACGTGATAACATATTATAAAATTATCCTCAAATTCGGAATTAATGTTAATGATTTCAACGTCGATATAAAACTTCATGAGATGCGACGCCAGAAATGTCTTGGATATAGGATGTGCCATGAATTTGTGGCCAAAAGATTCTGTTCCTCGTGTACAAACTCCTACCTGAACCTTATAAAGAACCTCGATGATTTTTGCAATAAGATGCGGATTTCGTATACAATGTGGCGTACACACGACGACGAGTAACAAAGTGATAAGCGGCGATATATTTACATCAAACGACATTGGGCAGAATCTGCAAATAAAACAATGCAGTTATAATTGTTAATAAGCTCCAGATAAGCATTATGTATAATTTGTGAGATTTGATAATTTAGTAAAAACTTACTGGAATGTGAATAACAAGAATTCCACTATGTCTTCCACGTACCATTCTGGTAATGCGGTGAATTTGCACATAACTTCTTGAGGCAACGGAAGTTCGGGAAGAGAATTATCCGGAGCAGTCTGCGTTAGAAGACTCAGCAAAAATACGGCGACCGATATGTAAAAGCCTAAACATCTTCTCAAAAAGATGGGCTCTTTCAGTGCTGCCTCTGCACATAATTTGAATGTAACCAGTTGCTCCAACTGTTGCTTCCATTGATTGATCAAGTCTTTATTGTGCATCGCTAAAAAACCATCTTTCCATTGAGATTCTGTAGCTTGCAGTTCGTCGAGCATTTTTTGTAAATACTCTGCGGCATACCATTTTCTCCGATAACTCTCCGACCTTCGCTGCATCAGGAGAGTCATCGATTTCCTCGGAATATCGGCAAATATTTTATTGCAGAGTGCCTCCAGCAGTTTCGGTTGCACTTCGGCAGATACCAATGCCGAGAGAAACGGTCCCAGGAGTGAGGTTCTCGAGAGCTCTCTTCCGGCTGCTGATGTCATTACATCAGGCAAGAATTGAAATTTATTCGTTATCAAACGGCAAATCGGATATATATTGCTGTTTGGGCCACTGCGAATCTCTATCAGTTCGCCTAGCGCCTCGATCGGTCTTCTTTGCGTATCGCCGTGAAAGCTCGCCTTTCGTATCGCGAAATACAGGCGTCGCAAGACTGGAGTAAAAATTTTTTTGAACATGGTCGGATGCGTGTGTGTCCTAGCCACGAGCTCGCGAAGATAGCCCCGAGGTAAGTTCTGCGAGATAATCCGATAGAAAAGATGAGTGGTGCAAACACGGATTAACCTTCGTAGAACGAAGCTGGAATACTGAACACATTGCACTTTCAAAATTGTCTATCAAAGGATCCTCCCCTCTCGAAAACATGCACATAACCTCCTTCAATGCCTGATAGATAATTTTGCTAAAGTCCAGCCCTCTCTGCGTTTGCATGTATTCTGCCATTTGCGGCAGAAATATGCTTCCCTTTATAGAGCTTTTCCACGATACGCACAAGACATGTGATATGATAGCTTCTGCAAAATCGACTCGTATCGATTTCATGTCGACTTCATGTATCACTGCATTTCGTTCTGCTATCTGCAAATTCTTTGTCTTCTTCTCCAATCTAGAGAACATACGTTAAATAAAAATGTTAGTCATATTCATTAAATCACAAACATATATCATTTATTTCCGTTAGTAGAATAACTTCATATCTTCGATATGAATACATTTACTGTTCTAAACATTTTACTTTTAACTCTCAGTATTTTTGAAAATGCTCGCTAAGATTTCTATGAGCTATTACATCAGAGCATGATTTTATAGTGGCAGCTGTTATTCATTATAATTTAGTAAACGATATGCGCACCCGATTAAGTCTAGTTAGATAACATATCTTCTCAACTTTCAGAATACATTATATATATTTGCTAAATAAAAATTAATTAAAATACCATTTTAATTACTTCAAGATTCTTGTACTAATATCTATGTTATTTTTTAATACATAGCATAGGCTCTATAGCATTGAAATCCGAACGTTACTACTGCAGTGCACTTATTTTCAT